AACACCAAATGCCTTAGACAGAATGATGCCTCAGCACAGACACAACTTTCATGTACCTTAGGACAAACTTTACTGCTATTGAAGGAATTGTTTAAGATCTATTATGAACTCTGTTATGGAAAAAAAAAAAGATCCTGGTTACTGACTCAGATTGCATACAGGTAGGAAAGAATTCTCCAAATTCTGAAGACGGTTCCCCCAAAGAAGCTCTTACATTCAGAGAATTATCTGAATCATGCTTTAGCTTAGCTATGCTATCCATGAAGAGCACTGCCAGAATAAACTGTGGTAATCCCAGTAAGTGCCTAAGACTCATTCATGGCAATCAGACCTTAGGAGAAAAGCAGCCCATGGGAAGGCAGGTAACTCCGAGTCCCAATGGAGATGATCTAACTGCTAAGGGTTTTTTCTATTCATTGTAATGAGGAAGGGAGCAGCTTAGCAATACTGGCAGAGGTGAAAAATGTATCCCTACCTGTTTAGAACTTTGTGATATATTTTATCTTCATGCATGTATTTCTTTCCAGATACATTTATGAGTCATTTTGTTAAACTCTTTGCTGTACGAAAACATGTGGAGTAAAATCTGTCCGTCAAAAAGGCTATAAATATTGAATTATGAATTTTATAAAGAAGACACAAACATTTTATTAACTGGAATTTCTGATCTTGAAAGTTATATATAAGGCATCTGTATAATTAGGATATAGTCAATTGAAGGAAATACAGACAACACAAAAATTAGGTTCACATGGGTGTAAATCCATAATATATTATTGACTAGTTGTACAGCCATTTGTAAACCAGAAAAGAGTAACCCCAGTAATAGACCCCATGAATTTGGTCCAAATTTCAAGTCTAATAAATAATACAATCTGGAAATATAAAAGCAAAGGAATGCTGTACAATGTAGCATACATTTGGGCATTTAGTTGTTTTAAAATTTAATTTGAGAGAGTGTTGTAAGTAGTTAATGATTCGTGTTTGAGAGACAGAGAGAGAATTAGTACAGTGCTAATCTGCTGGTTTACTCAGCACATACTTGTAGGGTTGGGGCTAGGCAAGGTAGAACTGAGAACTGGGGACCCAGTACAGGTCTTTCCTGTGGGTTGAGAGGCTTTTTCACTTGGGCTAAGATCCCTTACCTCCTAGGGCACACATTAACAGAAAACTGGAATCGGAAGCAGAGCTGGGACTTGCTCCCACAAACAACCACCTGAAATGCAGGGTTCCCAACTGGCAACTTAACCACTAGACCAAACACCTGTCCCTAGTTGATCATTTCAGATAAACCTGTTATGCAAATAGGGAAAGGCAAATATAGTACATAATACACAACTTCGAGCATAAGTAATAGGTTTGGACTGAAAATAAAATCTTCAAGGGCCAGTGCCTAAGAACAGCACGTTAAACTTCTGCCTTTGGCTCTGCATTCCAAATGGGCAATTGGTTCTTGTTCTATCTGCTCTATTTTTTACCTGGCTTCTCCCACCTGGCTTTAAATTGGCTCAGTTCCGGTTGTTGCAGCCATTTGGCTGTGAAACAGTAGATGAAAGATCAGTTTCTCTGTCTCTCCCTCTCCCTGTGTAACTCTGGTGTTCAAGTGAATGAATGAATAAATGAATGAATGAATGAATCTTTTAAAAAGATAAACAAAGAAATATCTTCATATTGTTAGACTTAAGTACCTTGCCTGATAATGAAGCTTACCCTTCTCTTTAAAATATTTTGTCACCTTTTCATTGGAAAGTCAGAATTACACAAGGAAGGAGGGATAGAAATATCTTCCATCTGCTGGTTATTTCATTATTTACATCCCCAAGTAGCTGCAATGACTAGAGCTAAACTGATCTGAAACCAGGAGCTAGGAGCTTCTTCTGTGTCTCCCATTCAGGTGCAGGGTCCTATGGCTTTTGGGCCATTCTCAGCTGCTTTCCCAGACCATAAGCAGGTAGCTGGATGGGAAGTGGAGCAGTTGGAACATAAACTGGCACCCATATGGGATCCCTGCCCCAGCTAGTGCAAGGTGAGGACTTTAGCCACTATGCTACCTCATTGATCCCTGAAATTTACCCTGTAAATATTAATTTGAAAAGCAAAAGTGAAAAAGCAAGCATTCAGTAATTTGCTCTGTAGCTTGACAATACATTTTAGAATATAAATTAACTACAAAGTCCATTATTTGTTTAAAAACAATGATCAATATCAACATAAAAATAAAAACAAAATGAGGAATAGCAGTATTTTCTACAGTCACAATATAAATCTGTTTAAGTGCCATTTTCCTTCTGAGTTGCTTCTTACAAATATGAGAGCAGAATTGTAATACAGTCTGCATTTTCATAAATGCAACATGAATAAGTTAGTCATCAAAATAATAACACTCTGGTTTTTTCTACTGTGTCAGTACTATAAATACATTGAAAAGATCTCGAGAATAAAAAGGACATTAGAGATCCGAAAGCGTAAAGTTACAAAGGACAGGCATAAATCAAGAAAGAGAAAACGATTTTCCTACAAGAGAATTTGAACAAAGATGGAATAATGGCTTTGGCTGATGCTCACATAACTTGAGAAAAATTATGAAGTTCAAAATGATGCCTAAAAGTGCTTTGTGAAATCTGATAGAAAAAAAGCATGTTTCAGAAAATTAGTGCTTTAGAAACCAAAACAATGGAATACAAATCTTGATACATTTACATAGACATAATAGTTAAGAAGATTTGAAGGTAGTTGTTTTACTCTCGTACTCAAAAGCCATAGATTCCGTATGCTTCAATATGACTAAATGAGTTTCAAATTATTGCTTTCCTCTTAAAACAATACAACTGGGATGGGAACAGGAAATGCTGAACTTTAAAAAATAATTTTTAAAAAGATTTGTTAATTGGTTAGTGCAATAAAATTTGGATTTGATATGTCTTAAAAACTGTGATAACTCTAAAAGTAAAAAAAAAGTTTACATTTGAAATAACTTTGATTTAATAGGTGCTCATACACATAATAGTGTATACAAGGACCAAGACCCTGGTTTAATCTCAATATACATGTTCCTGTAATCCTGAAACCATGTCTGTGCACAGATATACATAAGGGACAATAAAGCACAAAAAGAATATATATCTTCTTAAAAAAAATCTCTTAATTAGTAAGTGGGAAACATTGACTTTGGTGTCTGATAAGTTATTGTGTAAAAAATTTACCTAACAAGGAAAAATTTCATCATTAATGCCAGCAGTATATTATTTCTTACAGAAATTTCAATCCAGTACCTGTCATCAATCAATGTATTTCGTTTTCTCAGGAACTTTTCAAATGAACAGTAAAAGTTATAACTCCCACTTTTTTTCTTAAGATTGAGAGCAGTTTTAGTAATGTATTGGCTCTATGATGAGCAGAATCAGAGCAAGAAGTTGAGGTTTTGTGATTCTCTAATGTCAGGTGACCTTCAGAATTCACATAAATGTCACTGTTATCAAATTAAAAGAAAAAAAGTTGAAGTAGCTATTTCAGGGTGGAAATATGTTTACAGAATGTACATTTGAGTAACATTTAAGTATAGTTTCTTGGACGAAACAGCTATGATTAATAATTAGCATCTAATGACTGTTTTTCAAATGTAAGAGAAATAAAAGTCAAATTTCTAGCTTCAGAAAAAAATGTTAACACAAAACAGAATAACAAATTTTCTTTGGATGTTGTTTTTGCTGATTACCCATTTGATGTACCTGATTTCAATCTGCTTTAGAAAATTCTAAGATCATTAAGTTGTTTAAAAAGGATTATATTATTACATCTAATAAATAATAGATATTGAAAGTTATTACTGAGACATAGATGTCTTTCCAGAGAACCTATCATTTTAGCCTGCAGAAAAAGATTGATTAGCTGTAACAGTACTTACTGATGCTTACATTTAAAAAATCCCTCACTACCAAAGGAGTTTTCCAAAACTTCATATTTCTCTTTGCATGAATAAGGTTTTTTTTTTAACTAAAAATGAAGTCTAGAGTCAGACAGAGAAACATTACCCAGTGTGAAGCATGGGGGGTACATTCCAGGAAATAGGAGAGAACAGAATAGTAGAGGGACACCTAGAGACTGACAGACACAAGAAAGCAATGGACACAACGGTGCATATCAGGCGCCAATTTGTATGGTATGACAAAGGCTTTAAAACTACAGGGACAATAGTGAGCTGCGCATGCTCTGAGCTGGGAGTGAACTCACTTACTGTTCAGTGCATTGCACTGGTACCACAGGGAAAATAATACTAACTTTGATATCGTAAGGGTCAAAATAGGTCCATGTGGACATCAGACCTAATAGCCAACAGGTTCCAGCAAGGTTAGCAACACAAACAACCAAGGTAGGACTCCTGCTGTCTCCCTGCTCCTGGGAACTGCTGGAGCCAGAAGTGGAAGAAAGGTTGCACAGACAATGGTGCAGCCTCAGCACAGTATCACAGGAGGTAGAGAGTGATGAGCCCAGTTCTCTTCTAAGAAATAAATCAGTTGCACAGGGAATTATCTTAAGAAGAAAGCACAAATCAGGTAATTTTTCTTCCTAACCTCATATGGAGTTCAGATTTGGCTACTATACTGCACTATCAGGAAAGAAAAAAAAAATCACCGAATTGACTTCTCTTAGTAGGATTTGAAAATGAAAACATGAGAAAGGAGAAGCTGACTTCCACTGGAGGTGGTCTGGGGAGATATTCTTATCTGGCTAATAAAATGGCAATAGTTCTGACCAAGGGATGAATCATGAACATAAGATCGTAAGGGAGGCATCAGCTCATTGTACTTTGTAAATTCAGGGAACTGTATAAAATTAACTAGATAAGAAATGGAGGCAACGGCACACCTTGCAGATAAAATTACACATACACAACACGTTAGCATGAATGCATTAAGCAGACCGAAGGAAGAGTGAAAAGACTCAGAAACCAGAGTAGGAAGGATTGCTTGTTCTAGAGAATCTAGTTGGCAAACTCTTACCTTACACAAAAGGAATCATGAATACTACTAGTCTGAGACATATTTTCTTCATTTTGCAAGAAGAAAGAGGAGACATCTTCATTTACTCTAAGGTGCACCATTCCACAGTCAGTAAGGACAAATGCTACGTTTAGGAAGAAAAGTAAAAGATAAAAATGCCTCATTCAGAGGATTCAGAATTGTGTCCTTGTCCACCAAAGGGCAGGCCCTGTCTGCTCTTGTCAAATTTGGTGCTAACAGTGTACACTGTGGCCTCCTTTCGGTATAACGCAAAATATGTACTCTGCAATGCATATCATTGGACACATGAAAAACAAGAAGAAAAAAAAATATCTGGCTCCTTGATTCTCCCTAGGCATTCTCTGCTCACAACGGATAATTAGAAGGAAAAGAAATTTCCTCCTTCAAGGTCAGTAAGATTTTACTTCATTTAAAAATGCTCACTTATTTTATGCTAGAAATCCTGCAATGGGTAACGGCAAATTGGGGTGGCAATTATTGGATCTGACGCTTTTAGGATGCAATTAAGCAATAAGGCCTGAGCCAAGGGTGTGTTCCTTCTAGATAACACACTTCTTGGAAAGTGCTGTGAGGCATACGGGGCAAATTAGAGCTTCCAATGAGCTGGGAAACGTGTTATCTCTCTGTAGCACAACTCTCACAGTGTATATTAATACCAGACACGTAAGGTTAGATGGACTAGTTGTATATGGATTGATTGTACCATGTAAAACATATGTTTGAAACATGTTTGCTCTTGAGTCCTGGCAATGGTTGCTGATTTGGAAACATCAGCGTTGACACTCATTATCAACTGGTAGGTGAATGGGGCCGCGAGCTAGCTCTGCGGCGTAAGCACTGTGAGTCCAGGGAGATAAGAGACTGACCCTTCATAACCATCCTGAGTATTTCAGTTGAGGTGTTTTGATATTTTCTTCTACTTGGCACTTCTAAATTTATGTTAAAGGAACAGAGTAAGCTAATTCAGAGCTGATAGTTATTTTTCAGAACTGAATTTTTAATGTGGAACATTTTCCTCCCTTTCTGTATCATTTTGTCTGATTTTCCTAACTAGGTTCCTGGTTACTGGGCTTGTATTTGACTGACAGAAAGTGATTTCTAGTTCAGCCAACATCAAACACTGTGGCACTTCATCCTGGATGATGTTTCAGTAGTTAAAGAGACCATGTTGGACAAAGAATTCTTTAAAGTTGCCTCTTTCTCTCTCCTAGTGAGTGGCACAGTGAGACACACCAAGAGAAAAGAAAGACCCATCTTTAATCTATGCTGCTGAGGGAAATCAAAGTGAGTGAATTAAAACCAAGAGTAGCTTCTTATGCTCATTGGAGAGCTTTTTCCCTCTAGCTCAGCTCCATTTGCCGTAACAAATAAGACCATCAAAGTAAGTCAAGCATGGATTCAGAACACGCTGCTCCTTGACCTCGGCTTCCTCCCCGCTTGCACAGCCTCCCCTGGAATTTCTTGTGATGTAAAATCACAGAGCTACATGAAGTGTCTACACTCCAGGAGCAGAGAGGGAATTTTATTTTTAGGTTCTTTTTCTGTGACTCTGGCAAAATAATATGAAGCTCTTTTATGGTGCTTTCTAAGAGTTTTGATAAATCTGCTGCGTTTCAAAGCATGAAAGGGGTGATAACAAAAAACATTCTGCCTTGACTGTTTCTAGATAAGAGGTCATTTTAGGAATATCTGTAGGTTCTGAGTGGCATAGTGCCAAGTGACTCTCACTGCTGGAAGCGATCGGGAATTTCACCCCACCCAGCAGACATTCATCTCCAGATGTGTCAGATGAAACATTTCATACAATAGGGATTCTTTCATATTATATTGTACATCCTATATCTTGGCATCCTTATAATAATTAAAATAATTGCAAGAAAAAAATAATGTTTCCTTCATAATCCTAAAATTACCATGCTTTTGTAGAACACTGTAATAAGCCTATTTTAATTAAAAATTAAATTTTGGAATGCTGATAGCATAATTATCCACATCATCATCAATGCATCTAGTACCTCTAAGTAATTGTTAACAATTAACTCCTGTAAATGGCGCTCACATCATTTATGGTTCCTTTGAGAAGATTTTATACCATTTTTCAGGGAGAAAGAGCAACAAGGATAAAAGTAGGGGTGGTTATACAGGCAGAGACAAAGAGAATTGCTACTTGTAAGAGTGATGAAGTATGTGAAAGAGATGAAAATCAGTGAAGATGATGAGTGAGAAAAACTCCTGAATTTGGCAAAATCTCAGCAGCAGACACGTTTACACCACTCCCTTGTTACAGTGTTCGCCTTGAAATCTGTCTTTCATCACCTGCATCTCCCAACACTTCTCCTCTGCCTTCCTTGGTAGTTTTCTTTAAGATGTGCACCTCATTATTTTGTATTGGTAACTCATGTTCAGACTAAGATTTCAGTGAGGTTACAAACACTATGGTATTTTTTAAAATGTGTGAAAAATAAAATTAAAAATAACTTTTTTTCATTGCAAAAATTATATTTAATCCTGACATTGTTGTTCTATAATATTCGTTTTCTGTGGATTTTGGAAGATCTTGTTTTTCATTGGATATAAAAATTTTGTACCAAAACACACTTAGCCATTTATTTCATTTCCACAAGCTTTTTGAAGTATACTTTTAATCATAATTTATATCACCTTGTTTTATATCCTTAAGGCATTGCCGTTGAATTCCTGTTTCTACATTCTTCAACCTTAGAAGTTGTCTTCAATTAATTATTTAATATTTAAAAAGCATGTTAATGATACAAGAGCCTTAATTTCAAAATTTAAAAAATGATGAGAGTATTATGCATGGTAATATTATATTTTGCTTTCACATTGTTTTTCAATGATTTCTATGATCCTTCAGTGATCTTCATTTGTGCTGACAGGAAAGACATACTAAAGTTGGTCCTCAAATCTCAATAAAAACAATGACATTTGACATTTCCTTTTAAGATATGTATTACATTTATTTATTTGAATTATGAGAGACTGAAAGACATACAGATAGAGAGAGACAGGGAGAAAGAGCAAGAAAGACAGAGACAAGAGACAGAGAGACACATACACAGACAAAGACAGAATCTGCTGGGTCACTCCCCAAATGCCTACAGGGGTTTATATAGGCTCAGCTCTGATTTGGGTGTCCAGACCTCAATCAAATCCTTCTGCATGGGTAGTAGGAGTCAAATTATATGAATATAACCTCGACATCTCTGCAACTGAACTAACAGAAAGTTGAAGTTAGGGTTTGTGGGAAATCAATCCCAGATACTCTGATATGGATATACTCTTAATCATGAGGCAAAATGCATACCCCACCATACTTTGATCTATTGTATTTTACTCAGGGCAACTTGGTTGCTTATTGGCAGACTTAAAAAGTTCAGACAAAAGTGATTTTCACAGTGGAATTTTAAGAAGCTAGATTTTTGATTTTTAATGTATCAGAGTGCTAGGGCTAGACACAAATGTTAAAGCGTAAATGCTACTTGCAGTATAACTGTTCCTTATTTTAATTTGTGCTTGAGTTGCTTTGTGAAATACTAGGTCATTTAAAATTAAGGATAAAGCATTTTTTCCATCATTTCATTTCATCATAGGCAATTTTTGATCACAATGTAGTTTGCTTAAAGCTGCAGATCCTTCAAATTATGGGGTTTGTATTCAGCATGCTGAGAGGGAACTTATGTCTCCTGTCAATGTTCATGGAAGTTGCATATCTAATTCCCTTAGAAGCCTGGAACAAATGTATGCTTATGAGTCAGCACTACCAGGCTTCTGGGTCTTTACTCCCTGAAATTGTTATTAATCTGAATAGTAGCCAGTCCTCTGGGGTTGTTATAAACCAAGGCCCTACTGATATAGTTGGAAATAGAAGGATTTCGGCTTTCACAAGGAGCTTGAACTATCCTAACATCTGAATGCTCCCACTTGCCAAACACTATTGTCTGGTATATAATGCTAACTTCTGGAGCCAGCATTGTAACACAGTGGGTTAAGCAACCAGGTAAGGCACCCACACATCACACTGAAGGACTGCTTCATGTCTGGCTACTCCGCTTTAGATTAAGCTTCCTGTTTATGTGTCTGGAAAGGCAACAGAACATCATCCAGGAATTGGGCCCCTGCCACTCAAGTGGGAGACCAGGATGGAGTCCTGAATTCTGGCCCCGAATGGCCCAGTTCTTACTGCTGCGGCCATTTAGGAAAGTGCATTAGTATATAGAAGATCTTTGTATGAAGGTCTACATCTGTTTTCCAAGTAAAGAATTAAATCTGTAAAAAATAAAATTCCAACTCCTGAACTAATCAATTTCCATGCTTTCCCATGTAAAATTTGACATTATAGGGGTAATATTAATTATGATTTGAAACTTTGTGTTATTCATTAAAAGATATCAATCTTTATTTGACTCTTAGAATTAAATTCATTTTTCTTTTAGTTTAACTTTTTAATATAAGGAGAATGGATTTAACATAGTTCACAGATATAATTTTAAGAATGTAATACTTCACCCTTTTCTCCCCTATAATTCTTTTTTTTCTCTCATTGTCTTAAAATATTTTTGAGCTAATGTATTTTAACTTACTTGATATTCAATGGCTTATACTACACTAAACAGAGGATCCAGCAAATAAATATAAAAAAGATCGCAATTCAGTCTATATATCATAATAGAGATAAGGGGTATAAGTAATGAAAACACATCAATTTCATTTATGTACAGAAAATTTTGAAAATAATTATGGATCATTAAAATCATAACAGTTTATCATTCTTCCTAATTTGATTGACAAAGGTATAAACAAAATTTGAACAAATTATAGTTGTACTATTGGTACACACAGACATTTCCTTTATTTTTAAAATTATTTTTCTTTTATGAATTGTTGAAGTATTGTCTCTAATCATACTATTAGAAAGTAATATTCTTTACAGGAAAGATTCTGTTGACTAGTTGGAATCTGCATTTTAAAATTATCCAATCTACTGTGATTACCCTTAATAAGATCGTGAGGGTAAGAATCTAATTGCCTTTGCTAAGTTCATAATTGTCATTATTGTACCAGAGGGCATGGCTCAAGGTTATCACAGTTTGTATTTTGCAGTTCAGAAATAAAGTAACAGGAAACTAGTGAGAAATAATGTCAAGGAGTATTATACTTTTAGACATTTATTTATTTATTTGAAAGGTAGAATGATAGTGAAATCTTCCATTTGTTGGTGCACTCTCCCAAATGATTGCCTGGTTTAGGTCACGAGTCCAGAATTCCATTGTGCACCTGGGTACAACACGTGGGCCATTTTCTACTGCCTTTGTTGACTCATTATCAGGAAGCTGGTTCCCAGCAGAACAGCTGGGGTTAGAAGTAACGTTGCATTGGTAGCTCAATGCACTGTGCTATGATGCCAGCTCCACCACTGAACCTTGAGATTTTTCACTTGCCATTATGGACCAGTGGAAAGACAATGTGAAAAGTAGGAAAAAAAAATCCCTCTACCTTGATATATGACTCAGAGTAATTATATAACCCTGCATCAAAAAGTATTTTTCCTCAAACAATCCTTATTACTAACCATGGATATTAACTTTGCCCTTTGACTTAAAATAGCCTCTTTTGAACACCTAAAATGTTTTGCTATTACAAGTATATTTTCAAGAAAAGATTAATATGAACATATTTGAACTCTTGAATAAGTAACAGGTAACTAAAGTGTTATATTGTCAAACTGTCTGTGTGACTAGGATTTTTTTTTCAATCACCTAACAGAAAATATTTTAAATACTGACTCATTCAGAAATATTTATTGGAATTATGAGTATATTAATCAAAGTAGGTCTGCATATCAAGAGTGTAACAAGGACCAAATTTTAAAAAGAGAGAATACATGAAAATCAGCAAAGAAGGAGCTTACAAATACCTTTGAAAAGAAATGACAAGAGAAATAAAAAGAAAATTAGAGGATGGGTGTCACATTAAGTTATATTTCAGCCACAAACACAATTTTTCTTTCCCATTTATGAAAAACTTTGCAAAGCAGTCTTGTTTTTAACCTTTTTTTATTATTATATTTTTGACAATCTTTACATAGCTAATTAGGGTAAAAAGATTCAGGGGCTATAGGAAAGTGGGTAAGACTATTATTTCCACATTGTTTCCTTCATGTTTAAAAGGGGAGGTATTAAGGGAGAAGGCTCTTTCAATTTTCCCACCCTCCCCAGGTGCTGGACAAAGTTTCTTTGGAGATCTCCCCAATCGAAATGCTGGACTCAGAACCCTAACCAAGAAAAGAGAGAAGACAGAACAGGTCAATCCACCATCTCAGCTATATGTTGGCAGCAAAATACGGGGCAAATGGAGACTCTCTGATGGACTATGTCAATCAGTGAATTCTTCAAAGACCTCATTGTGCTTGGAGTGGCAAGATTGGCACCGATTCATAACCGTTGAACTATCAAAATCACTTGAGTAAGAACCTCGGAGCATACCCTACATTGTTATTAACCTTTAAGTAACAGAAAAAACATAAGATAAAAATGAAGAATATTTACTGTAAAATGTCAACAGGAAAGTTATCAAAGCTTAGAAATGCATTAAATGTGGGTATTCACGGTCAAAATAGCCTTCATGTGTAAAGGGGACAAGTGAAAATATATTCTTGAAGTTTGTTAAATACCAAAAGGTAGAAATAGGCACAACAAATTACTGAAGAGGAAAAATAAGTTATAAAGTTAACAATACACTTTATCAAAATAAGTAATACGGATTTATGCTTCATTAAATATTGATGTACTGAATATACATAGATAAAAATTTTTATGCATGAGACTTAATAAAGTGTGGATAGCATGCTGAGCTGCTGCCTGTAAGACCAACATCCCACCTTGGAGCTGGCTCTAACTTAGCTGTTCCACTTCCAGACCAGCTCAGCAAAGGCCAGGTCCACGTGCTTGCCCTGTACTCCTGTGTAAGAGGACTAGATGAAGCTCCTTGCAACTGGCTTCAGCCTGTCCGAGTCCCGATCTGTGTCCATGTAGAGTGTGAACTTTCTCTAAAATAGCACTTTAAAAAAATGAATTTAAAAAGACAATGAATTATGAAATGTTATGCCTGGTTGCTCAATTACATCTACAAATGAACTAAAAAGAAACTGTGAAGGCACTTATGACAATCTCATGTCATAGAAATTAAAAACAGTATGTACGGGCCCGGCGCGGTGGCGCAAGTGGTTAAAGGTCCTCGCCTTGCACGCCCGGGATCCCATATGGGCGCCGGTTCTAATCCCGGCAGCCCCGCTTCCCTTCCAGCTCCCTGCCTGTGGCCTGGGAAAGCAGCAGAGGACGGCCCAAAGCTTTGGGAACCTGCACCCGCGTGGGAGACCCGGAAGAGGCTCCTGGCTTCGGGATCGGCATAGCATCGGCCCGTTGCGCTCACTTGGGGAGTGAATCATCGGACGGAAGATCTTCCTCTCTGTCTCTCCTCTGTGTATATCCGCCTTTCCAATGAAAAAATAATAAAAATAAATCTTTAAAAAAAAAACAGTATGTATTTGCATATTTTTGGAATTTCATATTTTGTTGATTTCCAGTTTCATTTCAGTGTGGTCAGAAAAGATACATGCTGCAATTTAATGCTTTTTAATGTTGAGACATGCTTTATAACCTAGTATATGATTATCCTAGAATAAATTCTGTCCACTGATGAAAAGAATGTGTATTTTGCATTTGTGGGATGAAAGGCTATGTAGCTACCAATTAGACCCTTTTGGTCAACAGGGTGGATTTACTCTGCTATGTCTTTGCTGATTGTTGTCTGTGTAACGATTAGCAAAAGTGGGCTGTGGAAATCCCCTACTGTAATTGCATTGGAATATATGTCTCCCATTAGATCCATTCATATTTATTTTAAATATCTGATTGCCTTAGTAAACGGTGCATATGCCTGCAATATTGTCACACCTTCTTGATCCTTTTGTCTCTTCTATCAGTTTTTGCCTTACGGTTTTTGACTTACAGTGTACTTGGTCTGCTGGTAGACTGGCTACTCCTGTTCGGTTTTGATTTCCATTTTCATGTAATGTATTTTTTCATGGTTTCACTTTCTGCCACTTTATATCTTTGTTGGTGAAGTGGATTTCTTTCAGGCGGCATATAGATAGGACCTAGTTTTAAATTCTTGTAACCAAACTCTATCATTAAACTGGACAATGTAGGTTATTTGCATTCAAAATTGTTATTGAAAAGCGATGCAGTGGTACTGCCACTTTTCCATACATACTCATATTATTTGTTTTGGATTTCCTTTGTACTTTTACTAGAAGAGTTTCTATTTTAATATCCTTCATATCCTTCATTATCATTCCTGATAATCTTTTTGTTTGTTTCTGTTTGTTCCACAATCACAAGTATAATTTCTTTAGACTAGTTGAGTGGTAAAAAAATTCTTTAACTGCCATTTCCTTTGAAATATCTTTATTTTGCTTAGCTTATAAATGATGACTTTTGTCAGTACAGCTTTTTGGATTTAGTTATTTTCTTTCCCTTTTAAATTTGAACTATGTCTCTCCGTAGGGTTTCTGATGAGAAATCTGCAGTTGATATAATAGTGGTGTTTTATTTAATTTTTAATAATTTCATCAATAATTTTTAATAATATGAATTTTATGCATTTCAGGAAAGAAATTTAGGAACATAATAACACTTTACACCCTAACCTCACTCCTATTTATATGGAAAAAATTAACTTCAATTACAATTAGAAGCTTAATGCTACATTAATTTTAAAATTTTAAAAAACCTCAAGTAAGAAAACCTGCTGTTCCTAGAGTATAGAGAAATGCTGCAAACAACAACCAAATCTCAAATTGTGAATCTCATTCATTTAAATTGCATTTTTATAATATTTCTATTAGTTGTTACACACAGAGAAAAATATATTCATCCTTTCAGAACTGGCTTAGTTCACTAAGCATACTGGTTTTCTGTTGCATCCATTTTGTTGCTAAAGACAGGGTATCATGATTTTTATGGTTCAATACTATTTTTTTGTTACATATCACACTTTCTTCATGCAACCTGATGGACATTTGGGTTGATTCAATATATTATCTGTAAAGAGCTAAGCTATTATAAACATAGGAGAACAGATAAATATGCTGCTTGCTTATGTTTGGGTAAATTCTCAGGAGTGAGATATCTGGGTCATATGTTAGATCTATTTTCTGATTTCTGAGGAATTGACAGACTTTCTTCCATAATGCTTATTCTCGGTTGTGTTCCTGCCAGTAGTAGGTTAGGGTACCGTTTTCCCCATATTCTCACCATTATTTTCTTATTTCTATATGCTTGACGTTCCAACTGGGATGCGTCAAATGAAGCCTCATTGTGGTTTTTGCTTGCATTTCCCTGATGGCTAGTGAATCTGATCATTTATTTTAGGTTTGCATGATGGTCTGGCATCTCTCTTCCACACATTTCATGATTTTTAATAATATTTTCTCCTTTTTTTGTGGGTGGGGATAGGAGTTTGACTGCAATGGGTAGTAGTAAAGATCTTTTTGATCATGTGTCTTAGGGATTCTATGTGCTTCTGCACTTGGATGTCCATATGTTTTTGTAAATTAAAGAGCTTTGTGAAATTATTTGACTGAATAAGTCTTTCATAGAATTCTGATTCTCCATACTGTAAGGAACTCATAAGATGTGTATATTTAGTCATTTGATGTTATGTCAAAGAGCTCAAACTATTTTCTGTTTTCATAATTTTTCTCTTTTTTTCTGATTTATTTCCAAAAATTTATTTTCTAGCTTGGATATGTATTTTCTGCTTCACTATGTATGTAGGTAACACTTTATGACTATTTTTAATTTTACTTTTTGAATTCTCCGTTTCTAGTAATTCTGTTTGGTTTGTCTTTAGTATCTTTATCTCCTGGCATAATTTCTTGACCATGTCATGTTTCTTGAGTCTCTATATCTATTTTTATGCACCAAGGTAAATGTTAGTTGATATTCCAATGAGGGATTTCTTCTTTGAGATGTGGTTTTACAACTTAGTGCATAGCTTTCTCTTCTAGCAGCTGTCCAGAGCTGTGTAACAGGTTGGCCAAGGATTTCTGGTTAGAGTCCAAGTGTTGGTTAGGAGGCCAAACTGACACCAAACCTGGTTGTGGTGGATCTCCTCTATTTCAGCAGGGGGAGCTACATAATTGTGCTGACTGGAGTCTTCACAGCTCCAGCCCTTGTCTGCAAAAGTGAACCAACTGCCCAGAGTGAGTCCACAGTACCTTGACACCCCATCCATTCATGCATACAAGAGGACCTCTTTGCAATGATCCCACCCCTCCACCTCCCCTGGCATCCAGGTAGATCTGAGCTTCCGCAGCGGCAGCCAGTGATTGCCCAAAGACCAAGGCATACCCTATCCCATATTGGTTTTCTGACAATTGTACAGTCATAGAATTTCCACAACCATGGGGTGCAGGGGATTTACTCTTTGCCTTGTGAGGCTCCCCATCTACAGAGAGTGTCGCTTCATTTATGGAATCGGTTGACCATCTAAGAGAGTTTTATTGGGAGGGTGGAGGAGAGGAACATGCCATCTATTCATAGGACTAAATGATTAACTTGTTCCCTTTCTACCAATTCTCCAGGCTGGTCTCAGTCTGTGCAGACTGTGGATTTCTCCTTCATAGAGCAATGGCAAATAGACCACAGATACCTTCCCTTGCCTTACTCTGGAATATGATACTAATTCCCCACAGTTTACTATATGCCTTGGAACGAGTTGAAAAGACACCTACATGCCCTCATCCATGGGGTGAGATGGGCACATGGACTCAACGTCAGTGGGGATAGCAATGCTTTTCCTCATTCAAGATATCCAGTGCTGCACGAGCTGCTGCAAATTCCATTCACACCTAAGAAGATTTCAAGCCTTTCATAGCTCCAGTTTTAAGAAACTAGCAATAGGTTTTGACATAAAAAAATATATGAAGTATACATGGGGATAAAAGAATGTTTTGAAATTATCGGCCATGAGATCTAAGTTAGTTGAAGAAGTGACTCACCAAGAAGTTAATAGATGCAGAGGGTGGGAAGCGATTAAAATCAGGAAAACATTAGATATTAAAATGTTTCTTCCAATTGATAGCATGAACTTAAGTAATCAATCATGACTTGGAGTACTGGAGCAAAAGAATCTAGGAGCAAAGTGCAGAGACACAACAACACCAGAACTGCTCAGTAAGAGGTTAAGTCAACTCAAAGGAGTCAAAGGACTGATATTTCATAAACTGGAGGAAGTTGGATCTGTCTCAGTGCAGAGAGGAGTGTTGTTGTTACACTCCCTGAGGGCGAGGCCGCCAGACAGCAGAGAGTGAGCAATTTGAACTGGGGAAAATGAAGTTCCTTCTGAATGAACAGCCAACAGATGCAGAGAAGATTCTGAATAGAAGATGGAAATGTTGATAGTTTGTGACTGGAAAAGTAGACTTAGAAGAGATGGGGTGAAATTAAAGGTATAGTCAGTGTGATAGGAAGCAGAGAGCAGAAGCAATTGAGAAAGCTTCCTAGACAGGTTTACTCACTATCACTGAATCAAGTGTCTAGATATAGGAACAATGACTGGTTTAGCAGTTCACAATGTCATCAAAGAGCTAGAAATACTTTGAGAGTGGGCTTTAGGTGCAGTAGGTTGAATTTCATTGGAGATGTCTAAATCCCATATGGGAGGCCCTAGTTTGTGACCTGGCCTGGCTTGTGATCCAGCCTCCTGCTCTGTGTACCATGGAGGCACCAGATGATTGTTTTGGTTCTTGTATTTCTGTCACCCAAGTGAGATATGAGTGTTTTAAGTTCCTGGCTCTTGGCTTTATTTTGGCCCCCAATGGCTGTGGTGGGCATTTGGAAAAGTAGGCCATGCATGATCAACACCTGTCTATCTGTTCCAAGTAAACTGAAAACAGGACGAAAAGTCTTAATACGGAGGAAGCCAGAATTTGGTTGGCATGAGGTTTTTGAGGCCTGAGTTCACGTCAAATGATTTCTTTCCCCAGTGACATCTTAACTCTCCTGTTGGAGGATTTCCTGTACTGATTCCTGAAAGTCAGGAATCAATGATTTCTGATATATTGACTATCTTTCCTGTTATCAACTGCATCATCAGCAGAGAAGGAAAGCGTGAAAGCCTAGGCCTAATGACAGTCGAATGTCAAATGACTGAGAAGCAGCAAGGCAAGCAGAGAACTCAGAACAGGCACAAGAGCATTTTTGTTTCCTACTGCTCTGCATCTGTCCTGAATTGCCCCAAAGGACTGTCTTTCCCAGGACGTGGACAACATTTACGATTATAGGAGGAGGGGGGAACTGAGGCCAAATTCAATGGCCTCAAGTTTTTTTGTTGTTGTTTCTCAAATTATTATCCTTTTGTCTCAGAGTTGGACAAGTCCTAGAATCTATCTTTACCTCAGCTCCAATGTTCTTTCCATGCTGGTTCCCCTTGTTACTTCTCTCTCTTTCTCGCTTTCTCTCTCTTTTTTTTTTCCAATTTTATTGGAAAGGCAGATTTACAGGCAAAAAAAAAAAAAGAAAAGAAAAAGAGAGAGAGAGAGAAAAGAGAAAGAACTTTCACCGCTGGTTTACTCCCCCAATGTCTGCAACAACTGTGCCTGAGATAATCCAAATCCAGGAGTGTGGAGACTCCTCCAGGTCTCTCCTGTGAATTCAGGGTCCAAAATATTTAGGCCATCTTCTGTTGCTTTCCCAGGCCATAGGCAGGGAGTTGGATGGAAGAGTAGCAGCTAGGACTTGAACCAGAGCACATATGTGATACCAGGGCTTGAAGGTAGAGGATTAGCCAGTTGAACCATCATGCTGGCCCCTCCATATTACCTATTTTGACATTGCTGTGTAGTTTTTCTTTGCAGAATATTTAACTACATAACTATATCCCTTAGGCATGTATTTAATACCATTATCACAGGGCCAAGGAACAAGAGTTTTCCATTTTGCAAAACTTGCAGCACTTATGTGTGCACCAAGCACAAAGCAGGCGCTTTAAAGGGCTCATTGAATGAATATGGACTTTTAAACAGATAATTATGAAAGCGTACACTGTGAAAGCCTCATGTAAATCAATATGAATTATTACTTTACAGATACTTCTGCTAACTGAAAAGATGTCAAAAAGGTAAAACTTTATCTCTGATGAACCATGTTACCCACCCCCCCCAAGTAATAGTATTAAAAGTAATAAAATTGCTATAAAAGCCATGTTGTCAGAAATATGAGTCTCACTGCATAGAATAAAATATCTTCCATGTGAAACTGAGCTTTCTGTTGCATGTTATATAATCAAGATAATGAGTGTCCAAACAGTCTTATACCAATAGAGTTTCCCGCAAATTGGGTAGAACAGATTCTTCTCTCAAAGACTGTTGGAGTGAATACCCACTTTGTAGACTATTACAAAGGAGCTCCAAGCTTAACCTGATTAGCAACAGAAGATGGAAGGTAATTGCATGAAATGCAGTCAAGTATGGATCTTAAAGAGTTTCTCCTTGATAAACTGGTCAAGGAAAACAGCTCCAGAAAGAGATTTCAATTCTAGAAGAAAGCCACTTAAAGAAAATCCCTAAAATGTTATGCCTGCGTAAGTCAAAAATCCCATTAACTGATGGCAGATATGGATCATTTTCTTCCAGTTAAAATATATTAGAAAACAAAAGGCACTTGGGAAATGGACTGTTTGGCTTTCTGAATGAGCAAACACTGCAAGATATTTGTCTATTAGAAAATTAGTTTCAGCACAGTTTTTTTTTTCTTTCCAAATCAGCAAAACAAACGCATACATAATGTGGTGGCAGCACAAAAATGAGTAAGCATGAGATTTTGAGAAATTAAAAACTGAATGGGAACTCAAGTTCCTATTGATTTCCAGCTTTGGGCAAGCAAATATAGGAAAAAAAATAATAAAACCAAAAATAAAATAAGCAACTAAACCCAAGTAAAACAAACAAATAAAATCATGAGGACATCTCAGAGATGTCTCCTTCTGAGTCACATGGCCAGACACAAAGAAAAACCTGAGGCAGTTCTGTTTTACACTATTTCGCGATATTTCTGTCTTTTATTTCATTCTAGCTTTTCAAAAGAAGATCTCAGGGGTTAGTTCAGTGGTGTAACAGGCTACTCCTCCCCCTACAGCATCAGTTCCACATAGGGGGGCCAGTTCTGTCCCAGCTGCTCCACTTCTGCCACAACTCCTGCTAATGGTCTGGGAAGGCAGCAGAAGATGACCCAAGGTCTTAGGCCTCTGCATCTGCATGCAAGATCTGGAGGAAGCTCCTGCTTCCCAGCTTCAAATCAGCCCTGCTCTTGCTTTTGAAGCCATCTATGGATTGAACCAGGAAGTGGAAGATCTCTCTCATTGTCTCTCCCTCCCTGTAACTCAAGTGTAGAAGTGGTGACTTTCACAACTGGGCTCACAGAAGAGCTCATCCACTTTTACAGCCTGGCTCATCCACTTAGAAGAGGCTACTTACAAACTAAGAAGACTACACTATTGGAAAACTAAAAATGTTTTTAGAATGGTTAGAAATGTATTTTAAACATCGTTTCTTATTTTCTGGTTACTGCATCATATATAATTGTTGTAAAATAAAGCAAATAAAAAAGGGAAATGAAAACCATATGTGATAAAATAGTTTAATTACATGTGACGTTTACTGATTTGTGACTAAAGGCAACATTTTCCTTGGAAATCTCCTAATGCATGTGTTTAGAACAAATGGGATATTGCAGAAGGGCCACACCCAGGTTTGGGGAGGGTACAATGAAAAAAAGCAGCATAATTAAGTGGCTCAGCATAACAGTAAAATCCCTCAAATTCTTTCCTGATTTCTACTACAATTACTGATAACTATGTGCATAATTCAAAACAAAAGCCATAGCAAGGAATAGGTTGATATCAATTCAACAAAAAGCATCAAGCATAATAGAAAACAGGAAAAAAGAAATCCAAGCTAATCCTAATGTTTTTTCAATTGTAGTTCACAATATATGCAGGAAGAAAATAGGGAAAATTTTATGCAAGAAGAAAATAGGGAAAATGACAAATTCAAGCATTATAAGAACACAAATGCAATCATAAATGTAACAGACTGAAAAAAAAGTTAAATGAGATGAAGTTTAAAGTCATTGTAATTTTTTTCCAATTTTAGGTCTGATCCTGGGACAGACACCTGGAGTAGTAGCTAAGGTGCTAGTTGGGTGGCATGTGCTGTGGTACAGCAAGTTAAGCAGCACATGCAGGCATCTGTTCGAGTTGCTGCCACTCCACTTGAGATCCAGTGACCTGATAATACGCTTGAGGGGCAGCAGAGGATGTCCCAGTGATTGGACCACTGAACCTATATGGGAAACCTGGAGGAAGCATCCAAGTCCTGGATACAGGACTGTTACGGCAATGTAGTGAGTGAAACAGTGAACCATTGAATCAGCAAATGGGAGAGCTCTCTCTCACTTTCTTACTGTGTGTGTGTGTGTGTGTGTACCTCTTTCTGTAACTCTGCCTTTTATTGTTCCGTCCAGCAGGACAGTCAACAGGGGTCGCAACCACCCTAGGAGAGAATGACTGGACAAGAGACACGAAGAATGGACAGCAAGACAGGATGTCTGATCAAACTGTCAGTTTATTGATTTTAATTGAGGGTTTTTATATTCATCAGTAACTAAGGCTCAGGGAGGAAAGTAGAAACTGGGACACAAACCATGGTCTCAAGACTGATTGTTCTTGAGCAGCCACCATATCAACAATAGTAACCAACATATCAACAATAGTGTAGATAACCAGTAACAGGATGTCGGCAGGTACAGCATAAATCACATTCTGAAGCAGTTGCTACAAACAATTGAAGCCAAGCATGTGATTAGTTTCATAAATTCTTTCCCAAGCATCTGGCCAGCCAGGGGTTTTCTACTGGCCCATAGTTCTATATTCAAAATGGCTTCAGTGTGGCTATAGTAC